CCAAAAAAAATTAAAAAATCAACAAATAAAATAAAGGCATGCTATCCATCTACAACTCTAATTTTTTAAAATAAATACACAGAACAAAAAATATTTTAATCTGTGTATTTGTCTTTGTTGGTCAACATTTGGGTTCTTTTCATTTACTCTTATGGACAATGTAGTTCTGAATATTTGTATTTGTATATCCTCAGGTGCAAAAGTGCAAATGTTTCTATCAGATTTATACTCAGGAGAGAGATTGTTGATTTTAAAATATTCAATTTTATTGAATAATACCAGTCAGTTTAACAAAATATCCACTGTTTTCCAAGTCATATTTAATGCATGCTTCTACAAGCAGTAGAAGAGTAATGATGTCTCAAGTATTTTCATCAGTAGTCAATAGATATTTTATCTCTTTTTTTAGCTTTTAATTTTGATAATTATGTATCATTTTTCATTTTATGTAGTCCTTAACTAATTAAAAATAGATTGTTCTTTTTTATTTTTCAGATGTCTTTTTCATCTCCTGTGGATCAAGAAATTAAAAGTCTTCGAGAGAAACTTAATAAACTTAGGCAACAAAATGCTTGTTTGGTCACACAGAATCATTCTTTAATGACTAAAATAGAATCAATCCATTTTGAATTAACACAGTCAAAAGCAAAAGTATGTATTTGAAATGATCAATATGCCAATAGGAAATAGATGAAATCAGTTTCATCTATTTGAAAAATGTTTGAAAAATATTCTTTTTATTGCCTTAATATGCAGCAATTTTTATTATGATACTACTGATATGTTAAGAAATTGATTTTAGCTGGGTGCGATGGTGCATGCCTGTAATCCCAGCATCTTGGAACGTTGAGTCAGGAGGTTCACAAATTTGAGACCATCCTCAGTAACTTAGTGAAGCCATAAGCAACTTATTGAGCAAAATAAAGAGTGCTGGGGATGTAGCTCATTTGTAGAGGACTCCTGCGTTCAACCCCAATAATCCCTCTGCAAATAAAAAAGAAAATTATATCTTAAAATGATTTAGGGAAATTTATAGTTTTTACATATAGAGAAATCAACTCTTAGAATTACCAGAGTGTTGTATTTCTTATATACAAGACAAATATAGTTTATTTATCTTCCTTTTTAAAGAGAATACACTGTCATTGTTGAAACCTTAAGGAGTAGAAGAAAGGAAGAAGAAAGATCACTCAAAAGTTTCTACCATCTAGAAATTACCCTACTGGTTGATTACATAGTTGAATCCAGACCCTTATTGAATAGTTTTGGGTTTTCCTATGGTTTTTATTTCATGTATAGTCAGAGTTTTTGTTTTCTTCTT